TTTAATTTAAAAACTGCTGATTTTTAAGTGCTTTGCTGATACAAAGCCATTTAAAACAAACATTTAAAAATCCGATCCCATATATAAACGAACACACACACACATACACACACACACACATACACACACACACACACACAACTTGTGTTTTAATAAGTATAACTCGATATGAGTTGTCCCCCTTTCATTCCGCGAAAGCGATGCCTCTTAATCGTGTTTTCAAATTGATTTCGTGCAAAGACAATTGTGTTTTTCCAATTTTTGGCGCTGTCAGAACCACAGTAAGGTAATTTTACGTAGTCCTGTGAAGTTTTGGTGAAATCGGTTGAAAAATGTAGGAAATCCGATCCAATATATAAACACACACACACACACACACACACACACACACACACACACACACACACACACACACACACAAGCAACATTGTCTAAATCGTGTAACAGTATAACATAATTGTCCATCTTATTATCTAAAGAAACAAAAAAATAATTGAGTTTATTTTTTCAAACTTTTCAGATTAGACTTTTAGCCATCTTGACACCATTTTTCGTAAGAATCATTGAAAAACCCTTTGAGATATTCATCTAAAAGAGACAGGATAAAATTGTTTTATGTTAGACGCACATCTTCTTAACTGAGCAATGGTGAGAGGAAAAAGATTATTCAAGCCTTCAGTAATAGTACCAGAAATCATACCATGGCTTCCATCTTCGAAGTCCATTCAAGAACCATCAAGACAACGGTGAATAAGTTTTTTAAAAGAGGTAACAATAGAGAGGAAAACTGAATCAGGAGGTTACAACAACGAGAGGGATCATCATTTCAACGTAATGCTAAAAACCCAATTCATACGACGTTTGCTACATAAAAGAGCAGTTTCTGCTATGCCAGTTTAAGGGGAAGTGAAAAAAATACTAGAAAATTGAATCGTACGTGAAATGTGTGTTCTTGTTATTCCAGGGCAGAAAGTTAGAAGGTTAGAGAGGGTGAAGATCATCTTGAGTAAGTTGGTATATGATTCTGGAATAATATATATATATATATATATATATATATTTGAACTTTATTTCAATACTTTACGAACTGCATTAATTGCTCATAGCTAAGGAAGCTACGATTGACTAATGATGTCATTTACGTTTATGACCGATTTCATCACGATTCTTCTGTTAAACTAAGTAATTATGCATTCTTAATGTTCAAAGTAGAGTCCAATAGTGTTATAAAAACTTCAGAGAATTTCAGTAAGATATCTTTAATCATTTCTAAGATACAACAGTTCAAAACTTAATCTAACAATTTAGACAACTTTACTGTTACACCCCGTATATATATATATATATATATATATATATATATATATATATATATATATGTATGTATGTATTTATTGAATCATTCGTACAAAAAGTAGATTAATAAAGTTAATGATATAAAATGGCGAAAGTCTCTTCCATATTAGTAAAAAACGCACTCTCTTAAATTTTCACAAAACATTCAACCTTAGCGTTGTGACTGCAGGCTCTAAAAGTTTTTATCCGTTAACAATAACATATTTTAAAAAAAAAAAAAAAAAAAAAAAACATTTCGATTCGTATTTATTCTTTCGTGTCCGTTACTACCTGGATTTACTAAAAACAAAATAATTTCCATGTCTGAGGATGGCTGTATGTACAGCCGAAAGTACTATCAGATTTTAAAAAAAGACCTTATACAACTTGTAGATATGTCTTTTTATAAGTATTTTCATTATACGTATTTTTATGATACGTATTTATTATGATACATATTTTTTTTTTACAACTACAACTAAAGAACCCAGTCTTTCCTGTTAATAAAACTGACGAAGAGATACCAAGTGTATTTGTGCATAAGGGAATCTAACATGCTCAACTGGAATTCGAACTTGGCTTTCCAATCTGAGCCGATATCCCTTACACCACTCGCACACCCTCAACTAACATCTACAACTCGCATCCACAAACTATATATCCAAAAAGATATTTACTCTGAAAATATAAAATTAGGTACGAAATATCTGGATATGATGGCACAAAATTGTGTTCCAAATATTTGGATTTAGGCATTAAATAACCCATAGATGTGTTGATATGCCGCTAAATAAAATCAACCAACCAACGTTTACTTTTATGACTCATTATTGTTCTAGTCAAATAACAAGCGCTTTATTTGGGGAAATTCTTTTCTCTATTATTTATTTTGGAAATTTTACAATCGTGAGTTAATTATGTCCAATATATCTTTAGTTGAAATCATAAAATTGCGTACAAAATGTTTATATTTCGCCATTAAATAACCCATAGAGGTTTTGATATGCCGCTAAACAAGATCGACCAACCAACACTACATATATATAGTAAAATTACCAACAATATAATTTTAAATCAAAATAATTAACAATCCATTTTATAGTAGAATTGCCAACAATACATTTTATAGCAAAACGACAAACAATTCATTTTATAATAGAATTGTCAACAATGCATTTTAAAACAAAATGACCAACAATACATTTTTAAAACAAAATGCCTATCAATACATTTGAAAGTAGAATTACTAACAATACATTTTATCTGTAGTTGAAGGTACAATATATTTCGGCATTAAATAACCCATACAGGTGTTGATATGCCGGTAAACAAAATCTACCAACGAAATGTCTAGATTAATTTCTTCTTTAATATTGCAATCGGAAAAGCTATATTTCCGTACAAAAAAAAATGTGGTAAAAATTAAAATTTGCGGTCAATAAATAGAATTCGATTAATTTTGAAAAGAAAATCTATGAAAGTGGCTTATCGTTTCCATAATTTTTAAAAATAACTCTATCCATGAAGATTGATTGATTGTATTCTGACAGCTGTCATAGGAACGGGAATTTAAAAAAAAATGTTTAAAAATCCTGCATAACTATGCTTATCGATTAAAAGAAAATAAACTAGATTCTAAGCTTATAATGATAGCTTATTTTAAGAAAGGTAAAAATACAACGTAAATGCAAATAAAGATCTGTACATCGTATGCCAGTTATATTAGGAAAATCAATGATTTTCTTAACATTTTTTACATTATTCATATTAGAAACATTATTCTCATCTTTGTTGTAGTCCTGGGTGTAACGATAAATTACATCTAGCAGCAAGGCATCTAATCAGGAGATTGGAAGTTTTGAGGAACGTTAAACCAACTCGTATTTGCTGTTGTTCCCGGGGTTACCCTGACCCGGGGGGTTGCACCTGTTAAGATCTCAGCTATGGGCAAATAATGAACACCTCATATAAAAACAAAACCCTATGAATGTATAAAAATACATTTTTATAGTAAAAATACCAGCAATATATTTTATATAGTAAAAATATCAACAATAGATTTATAATGTAAAATGGCCAACAATATAATTTATCTGTAGTTAAAAGCATAAAATTGCATTCAGAATATTTAGATTTCGGCATTAAATAACCTCTAGAGATTGATATGCCGCTAAACAAAATCAACCAATCATCTTTATTGTTTTTACCACAACATTTCGACCGTTGTGCCCTCCGGCCTTCATCAGGTGCATATCAATGTGGGTAACCTAAAGAGAATTCTGAATTAAACAATTTATTTAATCTCCGGGCGTAGACTGTTCTTGTTCCACCAACGTCTATTTCTTTTTATTGCTCACCCGTTTCCACTGAGTCCAAGTATACACTACCGGACCCAGGCATTGAACACACGGCCACTTTGTCACTACACGGAAGGAATAACGGAGCAAAAGCTGTGATAACAACAATAGATTATGACAAAACATCGAAAATGAATAGTGTAAATAATCATAACTTCTCATCCCAGAAATTCAGATAGAAATTATCAAATCGATATGGACCCAATATGAAGTACCAATGGAGCCAATAACAACAACAAAGATTAAGACAATAGTCCCAATGTGTAAATAACAATAAATCCTCAGCTCAAAAATTCAATGGTATATAAAAATGTATACATATTTTCGGATGTCTGCTATGACTCATTAGATACAGTGATTTTCTAAGCGCGGCTTTGAAAGTATGGGGCAACAAGTGAGGACCGAACTCACTAATCGATCGTAACTGACCATGCAAGTCAAGCCTTCTAACACCACCATATATATATATATATATATATATATACCATGTCGATATATATATATGTGTATATATATATATATATATATATATATATATATATATATATATATATATATATATATATATATATATATATATATATATATATATATATATATATATATATATATATATATATATATATATATATATATATATATATATATATATATATATATATATATATATATTAAACAAAATTCATCTCGTTATAGACTCGTATCCAAAACGTAAACAAAGCAATTTTCTAAGTAATAGACATTTTATTAATTATAAAATCTGACAGTTTTATAACATCGAGCGTCAGTTTTAATGAATACTGTGTTGGAGAAGACCCACACACACACACACACACACACACACACACACACACACACACACACACACACATATATATATATATATATGTATGTTTAGGATTAATATGAATAAAAGCTTATTGATGTTAGCTTCAGCAACCCGACTCCTGAGTTTTATAGACGGACATGTCCGTCAACTCTTCAGGAGATATCAGATCTCTCTCTCTCTCTTACTCTCTTTCGCATTGTCTATATCCATCTCTGTATATATATATATATATATATATATATCGAGGGAGAAAGAGAGAGAGAGAGATGGAGAACAAATTGAGATAGATATATAGAATTACATAAAAAATTAAAGGGACAGACAGATGAAAAACAGATATGAAGAGACCGATACACACACACGCACACACACAGACACACACACAGACACACACACACACACACACGCAAACACACACACACACACATATATATATATATATATATATATATATATGATAGAGAGAATCAGATAGATAGCTAAGATAGATAGATAGATAGATAGATAGAAACATTTAAATTGATATAGAGACGGACAGATAGATAGATAGATAGATAGATAGATAGATAGATAGATAAACAAACAAATACGCACACATTAAATAAATGCCTGAAATCAGGATAAAAATGTGGATATTTTGAATGAAAACCTTAAAGATCTTGTTAAACTGAAGTATATCTTCCGGAGAATCCCTCTTGTGTGTCATCACCTTTCTTATCGTTTTACAACTTGTATCTCTGTTCACAAACGAAAACCTCAAAGTATTCCTCACCTTTTGTTTTTTTTTTTTTTTTTGTTTTTTGTACTATTTTCTAGTCCGGCATTCTCTTTCTTCCTTTACATCCTCACTTACGATAAACACTTTTTTCCTAACCATAAATACCTCCTTTTACCAACCTCTCACTTGAATACCGTATAGGTATCACCATCAACATCGTCATTATGAGAAGCGTACAACTCAAGACAGCTGCTCTCACTTTTTTTTTTAATCTATTAGGCTTCAGTGAGTTGAACCCCATCTCCTCACTGAAGCGGGAAGACAAACGGCCGTCTGACTTTTACGGAGCAACTTGATATACTCATGGACAGGGAATGCTAAGAATATGTCCAATACTTACAACTCGCACTTAAAATTGAACAAAAAAAAACCCTTCATACCAAAGATCCCTTCTTATGAATCTTTTCCACAGCCACTATTCGCTTATCTCACATTGGTACAATTATCATCGGCCTGATCTTATTTTCCGCTACCACCTCACGCGGAGTGATAATGAGATTTTTGATTGGTTGTCACGACGCTATCAGTCACAATATAGTCGAGCAGCAAACCCTGTAAGTGTTACACGTGTTTACCTAGTATTGCAACAAAGGTCAAGAGCGCGCAGCTTTGGGCGGGACATGATTTTAGCTTACATATTTATAGTCTACGTTCCATTCTTGTTTTGAATATTGTTGACACATATAGTATGGCCTTCTTGCTATATATGTAGAGAACCTTGAGAAAATCGAAAAATGAATCTTGTAGCCTAGAAAAGGTTACTGAATGAGGACTAACCAAAACGGAGGTTGGAAATGGAATAGTAATCTTTATAACATCAACAAAATAAAATACTCGCCAGCGGAGTGAAGTAGGTAAACCACTGCTAGTGGTGGACTACTTAGCATATTATGATATTTTTTTCTGTGAAATATACAGAAACTGTGGCACAAGGCCTAAAAAAGGGGATGGGGAAAAGGACGGTCTTCATCTGTCTTAACTTTAAGCTTAGCTAGCCACAAGCACTGACCCAATCATGCAAACAATATTCCTAACACCAAAACAACACATTCTTACTAACCTTTCTTACTACATCCACCATCATACCTCATTGTCTCAAAGAAAATCCTAAATACTCCCCATATGTACAAATCGACGTATGTGAGAAGGGGAATAAAACAACAAATTAAAAAGATCCCCAATGAGTATATACAATATTAATCAATCAATTTACAAGAAACTAAACAAAATCATTGTTAGTAATACCCCCACTTAGCATATTAACCCCACTTACAATAGTATCCAATGTATTTATGAGGATTAGGACATACCCATTAGTATTCATAAGTACGGTATATAACAAATCTGCCATATTATGGGTACTGACTGGTCATCTCGGTTTTGTTTGGTTTAGTTCATTTTCTTTTACGACATATTAACCCAAATTTAAATTAGTTATTTAATGCCGACAAGAGTTTTAGGATTGGTTCTTATGGATAGAATATGTATTCTTCGTAATAAATCAAATAGTCAATCAGGTTTCATTGACGTATTTTTTATAGATTGTTTTTGTCGAGAGTCAAATGCATTTCTGGTAATAATATTTTTCGAAGATGCATAGCTTGTAATATCTTTTTTTCCTAAAATATGTGGCTGTTAATTTTTTTCAAAAATGTGTTGCTGGCAATATTTTTTTCCAAAACGTATTGCTGGTATTTTTACTACAAAAATATATTTTTATACTTTCGTAGTTTTTAACTATTTGCCTATAACTGGGACCCTAACAGGTGCTACCACTCAGGGTTACGGTGGATCTGAGAACAACAGCAATTAAGAGTTGGTTCCACGCTCATCAAAACCTCCCTTATCAGAGGCCTTGCTGCCGGATGTAGTTTATCGTCATTCACAAAACGGCTGTCATCTAGACTTCAATCACTCTACCATCGTCTTGATGTACCCTGCCTATTCGTTTTTTTTTGTTTTTTTAATTACTTTCATGTTAATTGTTCTAGTGAATGATGCGGTACGTAGACTTTATGAATTTATGTTGAGGATACCATGGACCGAACATGTGAGCAACGACGAGATTAGAAAAAAATGAAAACAAAAAGGAAACTAATATTTAAAATGAGGAAGAGGCAGTTAAAATTTCTGATGCGCGTCATGAGAAAGGAAGGCTTGGAAAATCTGATACTCATAGGACATTGAGGGAAAGAGAGACAAAGGATGAGCCTCAGTAAATGCGTGATAGAACAGTTTTGGGGGAAATAACTAAAAGACAGAAATTATTAAGGATCTACTAGGGACAGGAAGATGTGGAGGGTCATGATCGCCTCTTCCTGAAAGAACACGGCACATAAAAGAAGACTTGATTGGCGGTACATTTTACACTTGAACAGTTTCTTTTCTCACTATTTACATTATTCGGACCATTGTCCTCATTTTTGTCGCCATATTTCTTACAACGTTTCGGCCGCTGCACGCTCTGAACCCTTTATTTCGCTCACTGAGGTAGACTGTTCTAGTTCCACGTGCTATGTTTAATGGATGTCAGTTATCAGTTATCTCCTCTTAATTCCTCTCTCCAAGTTCTCCACTGCCTTAACCGGGTATTGAACTCACACTTTAAATAACGCGTTTATCCACTGTGCCATGTGTCCTCAAGAATAGATGGTAAAGTGGATAAACGCATTAGTTAGATCCAATGACAAGACCCTAAGTGTATGAAGGATTCAGTTCGACATTTCAACCACCTGAAGAAGGCCGGAGCGTACAACGGCCGAAACGTTGTAATGAATATGGCGACAAAGATGAGGATAATAGTCCGAATAATGTAAATAGTGTACATAATACCTCATCTCAGAAATATAGACAGGTTCTTTTCTATCACTCTTCATTTGTGGTATTCTCTTCCGTCTACATGCTTTCCAGCCAAATTTGATCTTCAAAAATTTAAATGCAATGTCAATCGTTATCTACTGTCTTACAAAATCTCTCGATCAGAGGCCTTGCTGCCGGATGTATTCAGTAGAAATTTACGCCACTTAAAGTGATGAGCATTAAAATCACCAAACAAAAATGTTGGAGAGAGAGAAGTAGGGGAAAGAGGGATGGATATATATATATATATATATATATATATATATATATATAGAGAGAGAGAGAGAGAGAGAGAGAGATTTCTATACTTTCACATATTACTGTTTGAGAAGAAAGACAGCGACACATGTAAACGTAAGCGATAGCTAATAGAGTACAACAAAGAAAGTCGAAAGCACATGAAAGAATCTGCTGGAGACTCACAAGACAATTGCCTTGCCGCTAAGATTCCTGGACGACGTTTGAAGTCGAAACAATTCTACACAACAGAAATTGGAAATAATCGTATGAATAATGAGGTTGAGATGGGAAGGTGCTTTTTTTGTTTATAGGTTTACTCGTATTTCTGTAAATTGTAACTGTCATAAAAGTATTATTTTCATTTTTAAGGGGAAAAATTCCAAAATAATTATCACTGTCCATCGTCCATAGCAATACAAACCGGCTGGTAGTTGACTAAGACTAAAGCATAATATTGCCTCAGGGCTGTCCAACAGAAGTCAAGGAGAGACATCTTTCCATGTGCGACTTGCATATACACCGATATTATGCGACTCTTGACCAGAGCAGTTTCTCTAAGCGCTACTATAGAATTCGGGATCCTTGCTGTAGTCGCGAATCAACAACTAGAAAACGGCAACCCCGGTACCCTCAAAACAAAAAGTCGCAGCCGCTGATCACCAACAATTTAAGAGAGTTAAATCATTAAGGTAATGGAAGAAAGTAACCATATTTTAAGCAGAAAACAAGTGATATTCCTATGCTCCTGTTGAATAAACATGGAAGGCTTACGGACAGGGTGATAGACGCAACTCTCTACTCCTATAGTTCTGATGAGTCTACCTCAGTGATTCCTCGAATTTACAAATTTAAACTCTGTACTAGATTGGTAGTTAGGTCTCATAATTTTCCTGTTGAAATTACCGTAAGTTCTATGCTAACAATACATTCTCCCGTATTTTTCAATTGTGTATGTCTCTTTCGACTTTCTTGTTAACTACGATCTTGAAAAATTTAAATTTACTGTCTTTTTTAATCCTGTTTTTTAATGTCTTTTCTGTCTTAGTTTGTTTTATTGCCTCGCTTGGGTTGAAAAGATAAAAAAAGGACAAATATTTTACTATGTTCTCTGTTGTTTGTGTGTGTTTGAAATGGAGGAAAAAAATAGAGACGCTATGTCATAGGTCATATCAAAGAGGACACGAAAAGGAAAAATAAAAGAAAAAAAAGAAAGTGAATCTGAAAAAAAAAACTGGAAAGGAAGAAAGAAAGATAGGAACGAAAGGATGAAGCAAGGAAGGGATAGGAAAAAAAAAGAAAGAAAGGAACGAAGAAACTAAGAAAGAAAGAAAGAAAGAAAGAAAGAAAGAAAGAAAGAAAGAAAGAAAGAAAGATTGGAAGAAAGAAAGAAAGAAGTGTAGAAAGATTGGAGCAAAGAAAGAAAGAAAGAAAGAAAGAAAGAAAGAAAGAAAGAAGAGAAGAAAGATTAGAAGAAAGAAAGAAAAAAAGAACGAACGATTGGAATAAAGAAAGAATGAAGAAGGGAAGAAAGACTGGAAGAAAGAAAGAAAGAAAGAAAGAAAGAAAGAAAGAAAGAAAGAAGGGAAGAAGGGAAGAAAGATTGGAACAAAGAAAGAAAGAAAGAAAGTAAGGAAGAAGGGAAGAAAGATTAGAACAAAAAAGAAAGAAAGAAAGAAAGAAAGAAGGGAAGAAGGGATGAAAGATTGGAACAAAGAAAGAAAGAAAGAAAGAAAGAAAGAAAGAAAGAAGGGAAGAAGGGAACAAAGATTGGAACAAAGAAAGAAAGAAAGAAAAAAGAAAGAAAGGAAGAAGGGAAGAAAGATTGGAAGTAAGAAAGAAGAAAAGAAAGAACGATTGGAACAAAAAAAGAAAGAAAGAAGGGGAGAAAGATTGGAAGAAGTGAAGAAAGAACCAACAAAAAAAGAAAGCAATAAAGACAGAAAGGAAGGAATGAAAGAAGGAAGAAAGAAAGATTCGAACGGAGAAAGGAACAAAGAAAGAAAGAAAACACGAGCAGAAACAAATGAAAAAAAGGAAAGACGTTTGTTTAGTAAAGTTGAAGTATCGTACTAAATAAGTAATTCACACCTGGCTAGCATTATTCACGCCTGCCCATCGTTCGCCCACTTTATTTGATCAGTAGCGAGTCCAGGCAGGATATTGTCTCATCTACCTCACTTGCACTAGGAAAGACGGCAAATGAAGCTGGCATCCAACTTCCGGATACTTACATCCGGTCTTTCGAACGAATGTACCGTTTAGAAAAAGAAAGCGAGCAAGAAAACATACATAAAACAGGTTTAAAGATATAACGAAAAGAAAAATAGTGTTAAGGGGCCGTTGGAGTGTTTAGGAGACTGAGCAATCAAAGAAAGACTAGAAGGCAGCCAATGAAGCGGAAAGCTTGCCCAGATGAACAGATCTTCGAGATGTTCAATGGAAAATTGAACCACGCAGACTACAAATTAGGGGAAGAAAAATTAAGCTAGTGTAAAAATTTAAATATCTAGGAAGTATTTCAACAGAGGAACGAAAAGGGGATTCCGAAATCCGAAAATACATTCGAATAGCGAAAATGCCTTCCAAAAGCTAAGCAAACGCTCAGGAAAAAGAGGAAAATTTGGGTAAACGCAAATGAAATCTAATGTCAGTTCTCCTGTATGGCAACAAATACTGGTTATTATTTACATTATTCGGACTATTGTCCTTATATTTGTCGCCGTATTTATTATAACGTTTCGGCCGTTGTACGTTCCGGCCTTCTTCAGGGGGTTGGAATGTCGAACTAAACCATTTATTTCGCTAACTGGGGTAGACTGTTCTAGTTCCACGTGCCATGTTTTTAATGGATGTCAGTTATCAGTTATCTCCTCTTAATTTCCCTCTGCCTTAGCCGGGTATTGAACACACTCTTTGGGTCCTGTCACTGGATCTTACTAACGCCTTTATCCAACGTACCATGTGTCCAAACACCTGAAGAAGACCGGAACGTACAACGGCCGAAACGTTGTAATAAATATGGCGACAAAGATGAGGACAATAGTCCGAATAATGGAAATAATGTACATAATACCTCATCTCAGAAATATAAACAGATATTGAAATACTGTTCAATCATATCACGGGTGAAGAATAGATTTGAGGCAACATAAAAGTTTTTTTTTCCTACGGAAGGATACTGAGAATACCATGGACGACGAATTGTTAGTGAAATGGAAACAAAAATGATATTTATGTTTAAAATCAAGAAGCTTCATTTATTAACTTTATTAAAGCCTCGTCAGAGAATTAAATATGGAAGAAACTTGTGAACTTGCGGACAGCTACCAAACATGAATATGAATGCCAACTACACACATACATACGTAAACACTCAGACAGAAAGGAATCACACACATGAACGCTCCTTGACAAGCCAGATAGAAGCGAAGCCTGCTTACCAAATGAAAAACAACACAAAAATTACCACAATTTTCTTTTTCTCGTCCCTTCACGCATTCTCTGACGATAAAGATCGAAACGTCTTAGATTTATTAAAGTTTCCTACTTTCCTGTTCATATGATTGCAATCCATATTTGTTCCCAATTCATATATATATATATATATATATATATATATATATAGTGTAACCCGGATATAAGAGACCCGGATATAAGAGACCCGGATATAAGAGAAACCCGGATATAAGATAGATTTTCTCTGGTCCCAAATTAGAGCCCATACTTACCTAAACAAAATAGACCAAACACGGATATAAGAGAAACCCGGATATAAGAGACTTCTTCTCCGGTCCCGACAACTATCTTATATCCAGGTTACACTATATATATATATATATATATATATATATATATATGTGTGTATGTGTATGTGTGTGTGTGTGTGTGTGTGTGTGTGTGAAAAGAGTATATAAATATAAATAAATATATATATGTATAATTATTTATATATTATATGCGCAGTACTTATTAGAAAGCGCTCAATATCAGAGATAGAGCTAACATATTTGGTTGGATAGATGTGAGTTTGTGACCCTGGGTTTCACGCTTTACGATCGCCAAAGCGTGAAACCCAGGGTCACAAACTCACATCTATCCAACCAAATATATATATATATATATATGTGACGTCGTCCCCCCTGGTCGCAGCGTCGACTGTGTCGTTCGATCCCGTTCGCGGCGCCAGCTGTTCGCTCCTCGCTGATCCAAGTGTGACGTTCTAACCCTTTGGTTAGATGAATACCAGCCTCGTCGTTCCCAACCCGCTTCCAACGCTTGGTAACCAGGGTAACTGCACTGATCTCCGGTCTGCCTACCCACGTTGTGATTAGATCTTAGACAGACGGGATCAAACAGGAATTGGGCCGTATGCAAGCTGAGTCCAACTGGGGTGATAACACTCAAGAAAAATAAAAACTCACAAGGTCAAAATTATTGAAGAAAAAGGTAACACATTTTTATATCTAATTGCTCGTTACACAAGATTATTCCTACCTCCCGACCCGTTCTGTGGACTGTGGCACCACGCTTCTACCAAGCAACTTTAAGGCTTCGAGTTGCCTGCTCTCTAGAAATTTGCATTTCGGGGTGTGGTTTGGTTTCAACACTGGGCGCTGATCTCTGCTTGTCGTTCACGGCTGATCTCTCTCGCCGTCCGTGGCTGCAACTAAACTCTCTTCAGAGTCTGAATTATTGTTCACTCATCTCCGCCGTCAGTACGCGAATTAACTTCTTCTCTTCGGCTTCGATTGGACGAACTTCTTCACTTCGGCTTGGGTTGGACGAATTTCTTCACTTCGGCTTGGGTTGGACGAATTTCTCTTAGGCCAAACGGACCGGCCTCTTGCAAGCAAAGGGCGAATGAACCGGGCCCGCCGTCCGCGCTCAAACTCCCTCGCCGTCCGCGGCGCAACTCTGATTTCTGTCAGTTGGGGTCCCGCTTTTATTGATGCAGTCAAAAACTGGGGTGGGTCTGTCGGCGCCAGGGTTTTCTTGATAATTCTAAATACGTATCCACCCTTCTTATTTCTGATTAGGGATTTTCCATTTTCGGTAACTTTCTTTCCACCCTCCCTTACTGTGCCTCCGGGGGGCGTATACCCGCTTCCCCGCTCCTTCGCACGTCATGTGACCGCTCTCGGCCAATGGGGTCCTGGTCGGGTGTCTTTCCTCCTCCTTCATGTATCATGTGACCGCCTTCGGCCAATGAGGCTCTGGTCGGTATCTTTCCTCCTTCCTTCGTGACGTCTTTAATCGGGCGTGGACAATCTGTGGCTTTGTTCTGGGGAAGAAACACCTTGCTTAAAGAAACAAAAATTTAAATTGCCTTTTTTCGTACGTGACCGAAATGACGCTCTCGGTTTCTTTTACACGCGGTATTTGTCAAACAGTTTATCGCTAATTGGATACGATCTAAGAAAGGGATTTCTCAGACCTGTTGGCGTTTCTCTGAACGCAACAAAAAATATTTCATTCTCCTCCGGCCGATAATAAAAATCTGTATTATCTCAAAAAACGACATCACCTTGGGTGGCTTTTTTCCAACACTAGAAATTGTCTGGGTTTTCGTATTAATGGTTTGTTTTCATATCCTTAGATACACTTCCCCATCCCCTTAGGGACTTTTTTACTATCATCTCAATGACACCCTTTTCATTTGTTACTTATCAATATTTTTTTTCATTGTCCCTAAAATTCGTTTCTCCAACCAATTGATAACAAACTTCCATTTTTCGTGGACACGGAAGTAGGTCAGGTGTTTGACCGGGATATCTTCCAACATCTGTTATGTATCAATCGAGTGTGTGTGTGTTCGCTTATGACCTGGTTTTCGTATTTTATTTTTTTTCTTTCTTTTTCTTCTTCTCTCTCTCTCTCCCAGATCGCTTGAACGCAATTAAAGAATTATTCTCAAAACCCAAATATTTTTCAGCTCTAAATAATTATCAAATGGTTGACAAACCGTAAAAAACAAATCATATATTTATGAATATTTCTTTTCAGCTTTCTAACTATGCATGGTGCCACATATATATATATATATATATATATATATATATATATATATATATATATATGTCAAAAACAAGACACGAAACTAAGTTTCATTTTTCCAGATTTTCAGATGAGACGTCTAGCCATCTACCATTCGTTGTAAGAATCACGAAAAAAACCTTTGAGTTATTTAGCTAGAAACAGAACAGGTTAAAAACGTTTTATGTCAACCCCACAATAAATTCCCAACTGAGCAACGGCGAGACGAAAAATATCATTCAGACCTTCGGAGATGGTAACAAAGTTCATACCGTGTCTTCCATCTTCAAGAACCGTCAAGAGAAGGATGAATAAATTTAAAATAAGTTTAAAAAAAGAGGAAAGAGTACAGAGTAAAGTTGGATCAAGAGGTCACAGCAGGAAGAGAGATCATCCTTTCATCTTAGAGCTAAATACATTCTTATTGTTCAACGTAGAGTCCAATAGTTTTATAAAATCTCGGAGAATTCTGCTAAGATAACTTTAATTATTTCTAAGATAAAACGGTTCCAAGCTTAATCTAACTATTAAACAATTTTGCTGTTACAGCACACACACATATATATATTAAAGACATTTTTATGTTTAACATTCTTAATTCTTATTTAAAGAATGTTAAACATAAAAATGTCTTTAATAAATTGTCGGACTTTGTCCATTTCTTAATGTATGACGTCATCTGTTTACATTTGATACGCCATGAGCAGTTATGAATGCACGAGATTCATGGAAGATTGAAGTTTATAAGCAGTAAATTCGACCTTGCCAACTAAACGATCCTTTGTGGCCGAGAGGTTAGGCACGTCAAGCTAAATGACGGTTCCGTATAGGATGCAGGTTCGAATCCTGTCAAAGGACGAATATTTTCTACGAAAATTTCTCGGACATTCAGGTCGGTAAATGTTATTTAATACTGTTTATTATAAACAGAGCATTTACTTAAATACTTGTATCTATAAAAAGAATGTTAAACATAAAAATGTCTTTAATAAATTGTCGGACTTCAATTTCTTAACATATATATTAACGTTTTTCCAAGCGTAGCTTAGACGTGGAACAAGGCCGAAATTACAGCACCCAGTGAGGATCGAACTCACTATTCAGTCGTAATTGATTTAGTGAGACAAGCTTGCTATCCATTACGCCGCTGGTGCTGAAAAGTTCTCAGTACGACCAAGT